TGTACATTTGGGACAACTAATTTCTTCATTGGTGAAGTACTTTCGAAATGAAAATAGCAACAAATTTTCCGTCGGTCTTTTGTGATAATTTTGAAGAAGTTTGTAGTGTTGTCGTGTAAAATCTCAATGAATGATAATATATATGAATGAAAAACACTTTTAAACTTGTTTTATATCATTAAAAAAATTTAAAAACACACGTACACTGCAAGGATTCAAAAAGTATCGAAATTATTCTTTGTCTGCGTCTTTCTTCCATTGAATTTAAAGGGCTGATATGAATACTTTAATGTATTGCTTGTTATCAAAGTGTTCACAAAATTGCATCTACATGTAGTGTATAAAAACTAGGTGAACGTAACACTGTAAAAATATCAGCAAAATAGCATGCTCAAATTGATTAACTTTATTGACGTCAAAAGCAGATTTCCTTAGTCGTTATTTTTCCGATAAAAATACGCAAGAAACTGCTGTTTGAAAATCCTTGTCACATTCCCTTTACACATTTTCAAGAAAACAACACTAATAAGATGAATTCTTGTAATCATCTATTTAAGAATGAAACTTGAGTACAAAATCAAGATGTCGACGGAAAAGAGTAATAAAAGTTGTATGAAATACTACTCTTGCTGATAAAAATGCAACAAAAACTGTCTGAGAATAAGCGATATTGCAATGCTCTTATTCGATAAATAATTCGGAAGGAAAAATTCAGTATGGTGATGTCAATCACCAAATATTTTCAGAATTATTTTTGACATTAAATTTTCTGAATAAAAAATGCTAATATTTGAAAAACTATGTAAAACATAATATAAGTAATATAATATACGTAAATACTGGTTCAAGCATAACGATGAATGTATAAGAAATAATGAATACATACATATGGTAGATTAATGTATACACAAATAATGTATAAAACATAAAAGTAAATTAATATATCTGTAGAATTAATGTGTGAGACATGTAAGTAGATTAATGTATACATAAATAACATGTAAGACATATACATTCGACTCTCGATAATTCAAGCCTTCGGTAATACGAACCTCTCGATAATCCGAAGTATATGCTCAGCACCTAGAAAAACTTTTGATATTTCGAACTTAAACAATACGTTTGGGTACACTCAAAAATTCGAAGTAAAATCTGTGGCTGGCCAGATTACAACACGCAATAATTCGACGTTATGTTATAAAACTCTCGACAATTCGAACACTCACTATCATGTACAGTCCTGTAGCAAACAGATTGGAGCCTACAAGTTTTGTGTAGTATTATCTTTGCGTGTCTCCCATGTAATGTATTCCCTTTAATGACTATCTGCCTGCTACCCCTTCTTAGTGTTTTCCGGTTCGCTAGGCAAAAATACACTTTTATTGCTTTCCTTCTTCAAGTGGACAATAGTCCATCCGCACCTGTTGTTAACCGTCCATCTCTTTCGTTTAACACGTGACCTTGCTAGACATGCGTTCAGAAAGGAGGGTCCGCTATTGTGAAGAGATGCGCGTATTATTGTGTATGAATGTATTGAATATATTCTTTTAATACAGGATTTTTAACTTCTGTATAATGTTTATACCATATATATATTATATGTACTTTTAAAAATGCTTTAAAATAATTTTATACAATGTACAAATGTTGTTTTATTACATAGTTTCAACTTTAAATGTGTTAGGAAAAAAATTCTTTTCGTGTATTTTGGGAATTTTCTCTACCCTCTTGGTATTTCGAAGTTTTTCATTGGTCCCTCCAACTTCGAATTATCGAGAGTCGACTGTATGTAGATAAATGTATACATAAGTAATGTACGCGATACAACATTTCACTTATAGTAAGGTAATAGTATTAGGTATACATTATAATATATATAATATACATTATTTTTTATGTAACATTTAAACTGAAGCAATTAAAAGTAAATAATTATACAGGTTAAAACCTTTGTTATATATATATTAAGCCTCATTATTAAAAAATTCTAATATGTTAAGAAATGCACTTTAAGAAGTATTCATTTTATATATATATTTTTAAATTAACATTTATAAATCCCGTGCACCACGCAATGTATAACACGGGGGTATACAACACAGACAGAAGAAAGGATTACAACACAAATATCCATGCCTTCTCCGGGATTCGAACCCAGTCCCTGCGGCACTGCAGTCAGCTTCACTGACCACTATACCGGATGGGCGGCATTCATTTTATATTAATAGCCAATGTGTAAACTCTTCTTTAAAAGAATATTTCTGTCTAATTTAGGAGTATATTACTAACGAAAAATTGAATGAGGATCTCTGTGGATTAAAAGAGAAAATAATTTGTCGCATTAAAGATTTTTTCTTCACATTTATAGTTAGTAACAGTAAGTTAAAAATCAACCGAGTTTAGTCCAGAGTTTTGCTCCATTCCAAATTTTAAATGGACTTCCAGGGACAACAAAATGACACGTGACACCTCTCCAAAAGGATCGAGTATCAGGTGATTGAAATATGTTCGAGGAAAATGATTTGGCCCTTTTCGAAACCCGAACACCAGAGGAAATGGAATTATCGGAAGGGTAATCGGATGCCTTCTAAGCTCCAGGAATCCATCGCAATGTCCATCAGCTACGTCAAAAAATAAAAATAGCCACCACAAGAGTTCGCACCGATTCTTTAATACGATTTTTAGATTTCCCCCCTTCTCAGGTACCATATACTTTGTTAACAAATGTCGAGTCCATCAATAAAAGTTTTTAAAGTATTCACAATAAATATGATGGAAGTAGCAGAAAATTTACTGCCAAACTTTTTCTCAACTAGACAATATTCAGAAACGAGTTGAAACATTGTGTCTTTCTCGTTTCCTTTATGGAAAAAAATGTTTTCATGGATAAATCCAAATAAAACAAAGGGGGAAACAGGGGGAATCTAATTATTGTCATTTCAAATATCTTCTTAAACAATGTCTGTAAAAGATATGCATCTGCTCTCGTTTGAAAGTACTTCTGCATATGTGTAAATTTTATTCTCTGTTTGTTGGAATATTTTTTAAATTTCCTATACAATAAAAAATACTGTATATATTATTCTTTTACACATCTGTTATAATAGCATAGATATAAATTATCCACAGTAACAAGAAAATCGATTAATATAGATGTAAGTGAAAATTAAAAACAGCCCTTCTATACGAGAAGCAACATACAAAACAAAGTCAGTATAAGTCAGCCTTTTATAAGGAACTAAATGTTGTGTAGCTGGCTGATAGGTGTTGCTGGTCTTGTACGCACAAGGCTGTGACCCCGGCCCAAGTCGGTGGATTTGAATGATGCAGAAAATCGACAACTTCCATTTCGTACTATTCTGCAGGATGTTAAGCATCGCTAGAGTATCTGTTTAGCTTGGGTGCTCTCGGCAAAATTCAAATTCCTTCGTCCGATTTCGCATCGTCAGAGCTCAGGTGCCTTCCTCTGGGGTGAAAAATGGGCATCAAAATTACATGCGGTGATTGATATCCCATCTATATGGTGCCGCACTAAAAAGAGATACCAGCTCTGCAATGGAAAAACGCCAATCCACAGCTCAACTAGAATGTTGGGTCACTTTGTAGTAGGTCACTTTGATGTAGGATACACTTTGGTGGATACATAAATAGAGTAGCGAGTTAAAACAACTTTAATTTCACAAAGTGGAAGCATTTTGTCTGCGTTTGGATGAAATATCCTAGAAATCTGGTAATTTATCCATAATTCCGGATTTAAATTATGAAATCTTTAGTAAAAGACGTTCATTTTCTGAAGACGCTTATGAAAACTTCTTAAGAAATTAAATCAAATGCATCTCCTAATTTTTTCATAAAACTCTTCTCCAGTACTGTCTTGAAGGGAATAGGAGATAAAGCGGGTAGCGTTGAGATTTAAGCCGAGAGCGAGAGAAATATTTACACTTTTTTTTAAAGCTGATGACGTGTATGTGACGTTTGGGAAAATTAATGGTAGCGTGAGAGTTAAGAAATTAATAGACATCACAGCTATTAATTACGATACATTTGCCTTTTAAATAGAAATTATTCTCACTATTAAGTATTTCAATTCCACAGAAGATGTTCTTTGTGAAGGAAGAGGCAACCGAACTTCTTAATATTTTCAAACGGACTCTCTTCTCCTCTATCTGAGGGGGGTGAAGGGAGGGTGGCTCTTCTCCTACACCTTGAATTTCAACCGGGGTTTCAGGTCTATGGGCGAAGTGGTGTTTTTCTCTCGGGCATCGCTTCTCGGGACAATGTCAGATGAAAAGACTCGCAATATTTAAAGGAACTGTGTCATGCTATTTGTATAAAGAAGCTAATTTTTCAGCGGTCGGGGTGGAAGACGTTACAACGCCCAATCAGCTATATTTCTTATTGGCGCAAATTGAGCTCTATTTTTCTGTTTCTTCTCAAGATGAGAATTTGTTTAATTTGTTGACTAAATGAATCTATTTAGTTCTTGAGCTTCCATGAACAAAAAGATATAAATTATTTACACTATATTAAGCATCCATTACACAAAACTTGTAACATTATGTTTAAAAAGATTCATTAAGGAAAACATTCCACGCGTAGTTGTAGTTCTGAACAAAACGAATACAACACAAATTAGAACTTAAATACTATACTGACAGTTATAACCCCTATTATATTTATTATCCTAATCCGTGAGTCCTAATCCGTCTTAACATGTCTATAACACAAGTAATATAAAAAAAAATAAGTCAATTCCTACTTAGGTCAACAAAGAAAATTTTTAATTTAGCTACTTTTTATTAAATAATTACAATTAATATATAAATATGTATATACGTGTGAGAGAATCACAATATTAGGTGGAAAAATAGAAAGTGGTTTCCTTTCTATATATGGTGTTAAACTGTTATTTTTGTTTCTTACTATTTATTCATTAATTAAATTTAATTATTTAAATAAAATAGTATATTAAGAAGGAATCGCATTCTCAGAAATTAGGCCATCCCAGGAGGGATTCTAACCCATGACCTTTGGATTAGAAGTCCAACGCGCTATCCATTGCGCTACAAGGACACAACGAGCGATTACTTTCGAGGAGTCGAGATCATCTAAAAATGGGTTTTGCGAAAATCGAGGCCCAAGGTGGGGGAAGTGTGAGGGGAAAGTGCTTTTATAGATAAATATTCCGGTTTTTGAGCTATTAGACACATAGATGTATAGTTTGGTTGGTATATTCCTCTCATGAAGTAGAGAACTGCTGAAAAACAGGTTTTTAACGCAAATTAGCTTTCAAAAGGGTTGCGAGGGATTAAAGGGGCGTTATAGATAAATATCCCTTTTTGAACTAATAGACCTACAGACTTGAAATTTAACATGCATGTTCCATTTATTGATTAGAGATCTGTTAGATATTTTGTAAAAATCGAACGCAGGGAGTTTTACGAGGATTTTTTATACATTAAAAAAATCCCTTTTTTGAACTACTAAACTTACAAATTTGGAATTTAGAAAGGTTAAATTTGCTGAGCAGATATCAGCTTAAGAAGAGGTTCTTCAAAAGTTTACCTACAAGGGGGGGGGGGGGTATGAGGGCGTTACAAATAAAAAAAATCTCTTTTTCAACTATTAGGCCTACAGCTTTTAAATTTGACAAATATTATTTTTTGTTGACCAGAGATATGTTGAATACTTTTGTTGGTGTTGTTTAATTGGAGATTCACACTTAAAATTAATTCATTAAATAGTTCTTTATCCTTCAATCTCTAATGATTTATTTTTCAATTTTCTCGAACGAAGAACGAATATATCACCTAGTAGTTTTTAAAATGTCTCCAATTAAGTTTTCAGATGCAAGAAACCGTATGATATTTGAACACACACATTTTTGCTTCAAAGGTGATCAACTGACTTCATAACGTATTTTCGTTAATCCCTCAGCTCTCATTAATATTTCGAGTGATGAATGCGACTTTAATTTTTGAAATAACAGGATGTGATTCAATAGATGAAAAATCTTTTTGCATAAATTATGAAATGAAAAAATATTTACTAAAATCTCAAGAGCGAAACGCACTTTATTTAAGATGGAGTGAGTGAATATTAACGTCGCACTGTTCAGCTATACACGAGGGTTTTTGGCGACGGACCTCGAAATTTTGAACCATGGTCTAGCAACGAGGATGACACCTGAGTTGGCACCCCCTCTCCTAACTACCTTGCCACACCAACGGGAGGACGTTTGAGCTCTCGACAGATTTAATGTGCACCGCTCCTTCATGGTGGGTCTTCAGTGGTACTGGACTCGAACTCGTGACAGGCCTGCCATGATCCGATACCTAGACCACTAGGCTAACGAGGCCACTTTATCAAGATTGAAAGGAAATTATTGAAAAGCTTTACGACAGAAGTTCGTTGATTCGAAAATCTGCATTCTCATTAAAGAATCCAGGTCTTACAAAAGATTCGATAAATAAAACCTTGTTGAGAAGAGAAAAAACACTCCCGGTTCGAATTTATAAATCACAAAATGTTTCTTTTCTTTTATTTTTACTAGACGCAGGAATTTTTTTTAATCTCCTTTTCTCTCTTTTTTTTTAAGATTATTTTTAAATTCGCGTTTTAGGGGACATATTATAACTTAAAAAAAAAGAGATTATTTAAAACATAGCTTTCCTGTGCCTAACCTTTCAAGTGGAGTGCTCTTCAAAAGAAATCACGAGGCCAACCCTTCCAAATGAATTTTTTTTTTGAGAAACTGCTAGTTCCCTTTATAAAAAAAACACTCATTAACTGGAGTCATCCGATTAAGAATGAAAAATGTGGAACTAGGTTTAAGTACAAAAAAGAGAGGGGAAAAATTGCTTCGTAAAAGTATTTAAAAGAGGGATGCCAATTTTATATGGAAATCTATTAACGTTTATTTATTGATAATTATACTTCAAGTCGTTTTTATTTCCAGATACGAATCCATGATTTTTTTTTTAAATTGTTTTTGCCAAAAGGGGTTCTAAAAGAAGATCTTGAATGCTCGGCCGAAAAAAAGGCAAGATTTTGTTTAAAGAAATTTCTGAATGTTTTTTTTAAATAAAATAAAAGGAATTCTTATTTAAAATCACGAATAAATCATTTATAGCAATTCGCCTTTCTGGTAGTTCTCACTGAAAGTAGGTAAAACCGAGGTTGAGGATACTTCAATATTTAAATTCGAAAGCATAAAAGACCAAAATGTTCATTTTTGCGCAATCTTGTTAAAAAATAATCCAAAGCTTTATTGTTTTACATTCTGTATTTAGTGTCTTTAAAATTAAAATATGTCTTAGTTTTATTTTCTTTAAAATTTTTAAACTTCATTTGAGAGATTTATATATATCTATCTGAAAACTGTAAAATGTGTGTATAACATTTGAACTTTCAAATCATTTTTCTTTCTTCATTTTTTAAATTTTTTAAGGTTTTATTCATTATTCTCCCTTTGTACGTTATAAAGTTCAAAAGAATTTCGATATAAATATTCACATCTGCATTTGGATAAATGGAAAAATGATGTGAATGAAAAAGCCGTTTGACTGCATCTATATCGTTTTATTGATAACACTTTTGCTCTTTTGTCAAGTAAACTTTGTGAAAAGGAAATTCCAACGGTCTAATCATAATTCAGACTAATATCTCCTTGTTGAGCTATAGAATACTTTGCATAAAGTGGCTTATAAAAATATTCAAAAGTTCATTTGTTCTCTATTTTAAGATATGATTTTCTTTTTTAGGTAAGTGAGAAGATTTATACAACTTTTTTGACTCGGAAATTGGCATGAGAGGTTATAAAGATCTTTCCATTGTAAGTAAAAAGTGGAAAATTTTCTTTAAAACTATGCTTTTTATTTCTTTGACATATGTGAGCGAGAGAACATATATTTCTTCATTGTATAAGAATGCATTAAATGAAATTTTTACGCCAGTTGTTGGATTATTTGATTTGCGAAAGAAATCGTGTTTTGTTTACTTTCAAATGGCTTTTATTATCGTTGTATACGAATTATTCTGTAAATGATGTAAATTTGTTCTCGTTTTTTTCCTTTTCAGTAAGAATGGCTTACTCTATGTTTGTTTTAGGATTTTGGCGTATTCTGCAAAAATCAATAAGACTTATAAATGGTTAAGGTACAGGATATCTAAAATTTGTAAAAATTGTTTCATTCTTAATGAACTAATATAATATTAGAAATCGTTGTTTCACATCGAATTGTGTGTACGTGATGACATATTTATTAATTGACTAAGAAGCAGTGGATCAAGTACTTTTGCTAAAACTATTTTCTTGGACGTACATACAGACTTCAGAAAACTATTGGTGTAATTTCTTAAACTGAAAAAAAATAATGCGCAAAAAGAGAATTTAAATGTATTTAAATCACGTTTCTTAAAAAACGAGGTCCTTTCGCCTATAGCTGTATTGCAGTTCCGAAGTGCGACATAAATAATCAATTAATTTGTATGTAATGTGATGGTCATTAGAAAGAAAGAAATAAAATTTTGATTCATTTACACATAAGAAAATAATAAACTTTTCAAAAATTTTGCGGCTTTCCAATATACAATAAGTAAAATTATGATTTTTTTTCAGATGAGAAAAAGAAAACTAATTCTTAAAAACTTACCTGAAAATATTTGTCTCAATTTATTTATATTAAAAGTTTAAACATATGTTCATATAGAGTAGTTTTTCATTCATAATTTGATTTTAGCATTCGATAAAGATTTATGAAAATTTAGGAAAAAAAGAATAAAAATGGTTTTAATCAAATTGCAAATTTATTTTTTATGCAAAGGTTATTTTTTTAAACATAGTGATAAAATCTTTGCATAAAATTATACATTGATAGATGTATTTGATTTAAATCGTTTTAATTTTAGATTTTTTTAATTAATGAAAAAAATATTTAACTTTTTTTTATTGTGCATGTGGCAACGCGACACTTTGTATATACTAACGTGCTCAAGAAAGAACACAAATATTCGATTCATAGCTTATTTTTTCTCAGTAAAGTTCAAATAATTTGAGGTAATTGGTAATTTTTTGGAGAAGAGGGGGATGATAAAGTCTCTCTTTTTTGTGGATAACATTTAATATATTCATCGATAAAATGCAGAATCAAAATGTATGTCTTTTTCCCAAACTCGAATTTGATTCTCCTAAATGGAGCTTTTCGTGTTCATTCGCCAACCCATCATTTTTGAACGGTGTCCCCTTTCCTGTCCTTCGAATTGTGGGAGAATAGTAGAGATGATTTCCTTCTAAAAATGAGAAAATTAACTATCAAAATTAATTTCCGCCCGGAATCTTGATCGACAAGCGAAATTTTTAACTACATTTTACTGGATCAAATAATTTTTTGTACTCGGTTGAAAAAGAATGGTGTTTTAGATGGATAATTATTTTAAGGACGTTATACTTTTCAATGTAAATTTTGTTTCCATTATTTGATTATTTTTCACCGTTTTTATTAGTTTGAATAATTATTTAGTTTTCCATTATTCAGTAACTGGAGATCTAATCGAAAAACTCCACAGCGTCAACAAACTGAATTATTTATCACACAACACCAAGAAAGTTTCTAGTTTAATATTTTTCAATAAAAATTTTATTTATAAATGTAATTCTTTTTATTTATTCTGCAAGGATCAGGATTTGAAAAGCGTTTTTAACATAAAATGTGATAAACCATTTTTATCTGAAAACGGGAAATGACTGTAATATGTTCATTTGAAACACAAAATAATTTTTTTTCTCATTTTTATACTTCGATACAACTTACTTTTCATCTATTTTAAACGCTATATCTATAATAAATTCGATATTTTCGCGTGCATAGTTGTGAGCTGCAGAATAACTTTCTCAACTCGGTATTTCTATAATTTAAATTACACTATTGCGGAGTTGAAAATTTGAATATTAATCGAAAAAACAATGATATGTATGTATATTTTTTAACAAATTTTGTTTAAAGTATACGTACTTTACAATTATTTTAATAAATTAACAGGTTGATTTAAAAAAGAACCATGCTTTCTTTATG